CGGGAAAATCTGGACACACCCCAGGGGCGGAGCCAGGGAGATAAAGGCTTTTGCCCGGAGGGCGGAGTGGAGTCTTCAGCCTTTGGCTCAGTGTGGGTGGTAGCTTCAAGGGAGCGTACAGGTGGGGGCTCAAACTCCAGGGCATTCAGGCCACTATAAACTGTGGTGGACAGCCAGGGCAACAGTACAAGTGACCAGTCTGGTGGAGGGCTGGGGGTTTCTCCACAACAGGAGGGGAAAGCAAAACCCATCCTGAGGCCCACAACCTCCAGAGAAAGAGAGGGGGTGTGTGGGGGACAGAGGAATGGCATTTTAAATCATGTTTATTTTATGCCCAGGTTGTGTTAATGTGCTTGTGTTTATTTTCTGCGTTTTAACTTGTACATAGTTAAAATAAACCGTTTTATAGTTAAATAAGACCTGGTGTGCCTTGACCACTTAGTCCTCCCTGCTCAGCACATTACCAGAAGCAAAAGGGAGGCTGGGGAACACAAACGGGCCCAAATCGGAGGGTTTGCCAACTTTCCAGGGGGTGCCCAAAGATTGTGGTACCAACTTCCCAAGGTTTGGGAATCAGCCAGAGGGGTCTCACTGTCCCTCTAGGAAGGCTGTGTCAATCCAGTGAGTGGTGGTGTGTAACGAAGGAGAATAGCCCCACCAGGTCAGGTGGGAAGGCAAAAATGGGCTTGCGAGCCACAGAATGGCTGCTCAGTCTCCCAGGGCTGAGGGCAGGTCCCTGTTTTGTCACAGCATCTACGGACTGTACTATTATTATGAGAGTCAATTTGGTGTAGTGGTTAAGAGCACAAACTCTAATCTGGGAGAACTGGGTTTGATTCCCCACTCCACATGTAGGTGCTGGTGTGACCTTGGGTCAGTCACAAGTTCTCTCAGAGCTGTTCTCAAGGGCAGTTCTCTTAGAGCTCTCTAAGCCCCACCTACCTTACAGGGTGTCTGTTGTGGGGAGGGGAAGGGAAAGGAGACTGTAAACTGCTCTGAGACTCCAAGTGAAGGGCAGGGTATAAATCCAATCTCCTCTTCTTCTTACCAGGGCCAGACATATTTGCCGAGTTATGAACCTCAGGAAGCAAGCTTCATGGAATGCAGATGGGTTTACTTTTGGATATGCATGCAGAGAATTAGGCTCTAAGAAGCACCTAAGTGGAATGCACACTGGGACAGGACAGGACTGAGCCTCTCATGGTACATTTCAAAGGAGATCTCTTAAAAAGCAAGAAGTGCCAGGGAAAGTAAGCCCAAGCCAGTCAGCTCTGAAGAGAATGCTCCCATTTCCTACCATTCTGTTGTCCCCCCAAAGAGAAATCAGCCCATGGAAAAATAAGCAGCAAGATCAGAGTGGCAATCTGAACAGAAGATGTGTCTTCCCTCCACCCACCCAAATCTGCAGCAAAGGCAATTCACCTTCACAAGAGCGCAGACAATGCAGGGCTGTGCCAAAGTTTTTGCTGGGTCACCACTACAAGGACAGTTTCCGAACATTAGCATGATAAGCAGTACTGGGTGACCTCAAGCATGCACTGAGAAACACAGTTAAAACACTGCATCGTGTGAATTCTGAAGTGGGGAAAAACCCCTCTGCATTTACACAGGTTCATATTCAGGAGGGATTTGGGGAACACAAAATGGAAGCCAGAGAATGCTACACTGACCACAAATTAGAGAATTCAAAGCACTCCACATCTCTGTAGTTTGAACAATCCTTTCAACAACCTCTCCAAGATGATGATATTGTTACCCTGATAGCAGATGGGGGTGAGGCTGTTTGAGGCAGACAGAATGGCAGCTTGGCCCAAGGCCACAGAGACTGCTTACAGCCAAAGAAAGATGTTAGTTGAGCAGTGGGTCAGTCTCCGAGGCACTGGACTACACTGGGGTCCTGAGGCATAAGGAACGCACAGTTCAGCCTTGGTGGTGGAAAGTGCCATCAAGTCACAGCCTGATCATGGTGACCCTGCAGGTTTTTCAAGGCAAGACAATAGCAGAGGTGGCTTTGCCATTGCCCACCTCTGCATTGCAACCCTGGACTTCCTTGGGGGGTCTCCTATACGAGTATGAATAAGGGCTGACCCTGCTTAGCTTCCATGAGTTTACAAGACTGGGCTACCCTGGGCCATACCCTTGCTAAAAAGAGAGGTCCTGAAGCCAGGCCCTACATCTTATGAAGCCCTAGTTGTACAATGTTAACACAAGCAAATTGTGAGTTGCTGCAGAACTGCTGACTGCTGAATACAATTTTAAAGAGGTAAGCACTTGAGAATCAACAAGCCTCCACAGCTGTGACCTCCAAAACCACAAGCGAAAACGTCACTTGCACTTTGAATAAAACTTTGTTGGTTGCAAAGGTGCCACTTGGCTCAAACTTGTTCTGCTGCTTCTGACCAACACAGCTACCCACCTGAATCTTGCTTCTCTAGGGTCTCTCCTGAGGCTTTCGATCTTTCCTTCAAATCCCAAGGATGAGATATTTTGTGAGAGAAGCCTTACATGAATGGGGGGGGGGGGCGTATGAAGGGTCTCCATCTCCCTGTCTCCTTACCGCTATCCCTCCCGCCTCCTATGCATGCACAAACAGACTGCTCAGGTACAAATCTGCATCCATTTTATTAAGGCAACACATGATCTCTAAAGAATGGGAGGTGGAACAGTTGTAGGCTACAGCTAATCACCAAGAGTAAGGACACTTCTGGCTTTGCACTTCAGTGCTGGAGGGAATACCAGTCTTGAATAGGAAGGAAGGCAGTACCACGCCCCCCCCCCCCAAAGATTTTAGATGCCACTTGCTGAATTCCCCCTGTCAGGAAAGTCGGGGAACTGCCCAGGTGAATCAGTTTTTCCAAGATTTCCAATAGAAGTAGCACCCCAGCCCGGATTTAAAACTGGAGGCATGCCATATAAGGACACCCAGAGAGATTTGTTCTTAGAATGGGTGAGAACACACACTCCTTCGGAGGAGTCCACCCCATCTTCCTGCACACTCAGTGCTCTGGGTACAGCTCAGGCCATTTCTACTGCATCATGGCATCAGGAGTGCCAATCGCAGTCATGCAGAGAAGCAACAGGGCTACTTGTCATCCACAGAGGGTGACTGGACAGAACCGAGGCCAGAGTGGCAAAACCACACAGGGAGACAGCAAGCAGCATCTTCTGTGGCTGGATACTTTGGACTTGCTGGAATACTTAATCTGCTTCTTGCAGCTCAATGTTTGGGAATTGTTGCAATACACTTGAAGCAAGCTTTCTAAATCATCTGAATTATGAAGGGAAAGCCAATAGGTGCTTGAGATGGTTGGGTTGTTGTTTTTTTTTTTAAACCCCTCTGCTTTGAAAAATAAGCCAAGTTGCACAATCTCCAATCAGCACTCATGTTTCAAAGCTACAAAGGCCATCCTTCCCAAACTAGTTTTAACATGTGTTTAATGTCCCCCCCAAACACTGGTTTCTTTAAGACAGACACTCCTCTTGAACATGATTCTGCTCCCCCCAATGCTTTTCCTTTCCCAATTCTGTAAACCCCCCTTTAAAAAACCCTGCTGTCCCCACAGCAGGGGTGATGGCACACGCAGCACTTGATGGGTGTCCCGTCCTGTCGATTGCCTGGATTCATTCGGCTGAAATGAAATGAAGACAAAAATAAAAAAAACCAACTAAAAAAACCTGCCAAAGACAGACGGGCAGAAATACAACAGAACCCACAGTAAAGGAAAGTCTTAAAGCTCTGACTGGGAGAATTCTCCGGCTAATGCTGGAGACAGAATTCTGAGCTAGATCGACCCTTTGCCTGAACCGCAGGCCTGTTCTTAGCTTGTGTAGGAAAAGCTATGAAGCCAGTGCTTTCACCTCACCATTAGATTACAGCAGCCCCTCCTTTGGCAGACCTGCAAAGATTCTCCTATTGGAGTCAAGAAACTGCTATCACTCCAAGGATCGCGCAGAATCCTGAACTCGCAAAACATCAGTGGTACCTCAAAGCCAACAAGAGAAAACTCTCTATGAACTAGTAACATGCATGCCCGATTTAAACTGTCTCCCCACAAGACACACAATTTGCAACCCCAGGCTAAGCACCTTGATTTCCCTGCTGGCTTGTGTGATTGTAGGAAAAAAGACAGTAGTCCAAGGGAACCTGTTGCAGGGACCTTGTTGCACTGATTCTGTGAAGTGGGCCTCTTCTCTGGAAACACCTAAAGCACAAGGCTTAAATAAGCATGTTCTGATTGACTGTTCTGCCAAAAGGCTGCCAAAATCCCACTGGTTCTAGACCTCTGGGAGGAGGGACGCTAGCTAAGCAAATGTTTTGATAGGATGGGGCTGGAAGCTCACTCCAACAGATGAGTCCGTCACCCAGGAAGCTGGCAAGCATTTTCCATTTTCCTACATCAACTTCAGCCACAAATGCATGGTCCCCCTTTAAACTGCAAAATGCTCTACAACTCAACAAATAATGGGTTCACACTTTGCTGCTTCCTGAGCAGCTCATTTTCCTCTGAAGAGCTTGGGAGCAGATTCTTCCAGTCTGTCACTTGACAAAGTCCTTCAAAGATGAGAGTGGCTCACTCAAAAGAGCCACCCAGAAGCAAAATGGACTTAAGAAGAAAACAATGGAGTGAAGGGAGTGGGAAGAAACAACAGACACGCAGACAGGAGAGGAGACTGAAGAACACAACTCTCTAGCGCTCTTGTGCTTTGCAGGTCCTGATCCCACCAGTCAGCAAAACACAGAAAAAGAGCCAGATGACTGAGTGGGGCCAACAGAGACTTCCACACAGACCAGAACCTGAGCCTATATGGAGCCCTGGCAAGAACAGTATTAATATCCATGGCAAGTCAAGACTTATAGTGGCTGGCAAGCAATGCACAGGGCAACAGAACCTGAAATTATAGCCGCCGTCACAACAGCTTGTCTTCAGACACTCAAGGATCTCTCCGGGAGTTCTCAAAGACAGGTCAAAAATCTCAGGAGGATAAATCAGGCTGCTCCAAGTGCCGGCAGGATCCTCATCACAGGCATTTCTATCAGAAGATAAGGCTGCAGAAAGAACTGGGCTCCAGTCTCTTCCTGCCCAATTAAAGGCTAGGAATTGACCCTTTCCCTAAAGGGAGACCAAGCAGGTCAACTCCCAAAACAAATCAACATTCTCAGAACATAGGCTGAAGTACAGCCGGGTTTCCTGGTGAAGCAGTCCTGCAATTCCTCCTGAGTAAGCACAACCCAACTCGCACTGTGGTGTCAGCAAAGTTGTCTGAGGCAGCCATACATCAGAAAGCTACAGGTTGCCTTGGGACTTGAGTCCACAGTGCAATTCCACCTTTAGAAAGTCTACGTTCTCACCAAACTATCGCTCTTTAGCTGACTCCTGCAACAGATTTGGCAACATACTAAACAAACAGAAAATCAAACTCTAGGCCAACAAAAAATATCTAGATTCTGCTACCTGAGTAAACTGCACAGAACTGCCCCTCTTGCAAGCTACTCGGGGACTCTACATCACACATTCTGTTCCTCCTAGCATTGAGAAACATGTGGAGCCCCCTGCCCCGAGCCCTCCTTCACTAACCATTTTGTCTCTACACAGCCACAACAGCTATAAACAACACAGATGCCAAGAGTCTTGGAATCCAGCACCAGCTACCAGCATTCTATGGTTCAACAAAATGATGTGGAGGTACAAGGGCATACTGCCCTGGGTATTTCCAACAATGCACTTGTTACCCATTTGCTCAGCCCAGCCAAAAATGAGGTGCACACCCAGCCATTCCAACCCTCTCTTCAGAACAGGCGCACACCTTGATATCTCTATGCAAACTCCAAGCCAACAGTATGTTTAATTTCCTGCAGGTAAATAGCGAACGATGCAGGAGAGGTTGGCCAGCACACTCTCTTTCCTTCCTACTGCTGTTGATTGGTGACCTTCAGCCCTCCTACGAACATTGCACCAAATGACCCCGATATGTAGGCGGAACAAAAGAAACTGCAGCAGTTTTTTTCCTATTTAAGTGTATCTTGCAGACAAACACTGGAACACTTTCACTTTTGACTGCATAGAAGCCGCCTTCCAGCTTCAGGAACTGGTGTGCTGCTCCACTGCACCCCCTGCAGGCCACCCGTGTGCATGGTCCAAGCACATTTCTACACATGAATATATATATATATATATATACACACACACACACATACAAAGTCAAGGCTTTGTTTAATAGACGCTTTGAAGAACCTTCCTCCCCAGATGCACTGCAGTCTCTCCTACAGCTCTTTCTCTCTCTCCCTCTTGCTGACCCGAGAAGACAGGAAAGGAGAAGGAAGCGCCAGACACAAGAGGAGTCCTAAACAAACATAACCATGTCTTTACATGTGGCTTTCGAGAAAGCTGCCAAGATGCTAGCAAACACCACGTCAGGGGACTGGGAAGCATCCACTGCTCTGTGGATCCCGCGTCGGGTGTAGTAGTTGACCAATGGGGTCGTCTGGGTGTGATAGGACTTCAGCCGAGTTTTCAAAGCTACTTCATTGTCATCTGAACGGCGGATCAGGGGCTCTCCAGTCACCTGGCGAGAAAAAGTGCAGATGAAGACAGGGTCTAGGCAGCACAGCTTTCCTCTTGGGATAGGATACCTTCAAACTACTAGGAGATTTTAGAGATAAAAGTACCAGGTGCAACTTTTGATGTTGGCAACTTCCAACTTTGTAGGGGCAACTCAAAAGGCTCAAGTGCTACTCCAACCCAGATGGGAACCAGCTCAAGATGTTTGGAGGATGGTGCAGTTCAGCTGTTTGCAGTAAGAGCTGCATCCCAGAATCCCTTGCACTTTTGCTGAGGGTACCTACAAAATGGGCTGTGTGTTCAAATTCTGCTGCCTGTGTTATTCTATAAACTTTTCATTTTTATAATTTAGTCTGGCTTTGTTAGTTATGAGGCAGAAAGCTATGTAGGACAATGAAGCTTTAACTCCTGGAAATCATATTCAGTGACCCCTGACTTCTGCCACTTCAGCAAGCATGACTCACGTGCTTCCAAGCATGGCTGTAAAGCCACAGAGGCTAGAATTTTTTTTTAAAAAGATGAAAGCTGAGATTCTCAATAAGCAGAGAACCACCCCACAGAACCCAGCTCTGCCTATGATCATGATTTCAGCCAAACAGTCTGCATCAGTGTTCTCTTCCAGGAAATGGAACACTAAAAGTCTATCAGTGGGAATTCCACTGACATCAAATGCATTTCGATTTGGAACAACCTAGTCAAGTCAAGCAAACTATAGTGAACTGCCTGAAGTCAGAAGAAAGGCAATTCAAGATGATATTCACACAGATTGCACCCAGCCTCATGAAGGTACCGCAGAGCTTTAGAGCAATAAAAGGAAATCAGAAGAAAACCCCTTAGCTGGAAGTACACATACATCATCCTTCATGTGGACTTTAGGAGGACTGAATTCCTCATGATACGAGCGGCCACTTGCCGGATGGATCAACCTGAAACAGACCACAGCAAAATGTACTGCAGATCTAGTTATTTCTTCGGAGCTAGAATCACCAAGCAGCTTAACCCTTAGCCTTGCTAGAGAGTTCCCATGAGATGGCAGGAGTCACAGAGGGCAAATTTTCAAGGGGCTACAAAGGAGGCTGCAGCCCCAATTAAAAGTAACACGTCCAGAGAAGTCCAGGGGCACAAAATTTACTACAGCCCAAACTTCTGAGAGTCAGAGTTCACTTTCTGCACATGAGCAGGAGTATAAAACTACCTGGCCCAATTTATTTAAACAGCAGTAAGGGGTGAGCAAATGAGATACGTTATTAAAAGAGACCAGGTTAAAACGAAATCCAGTGCAAAGGGTAGCTAGTTCAGTCAGCATGAGTGCGAGACACTTCCAAGTCTTGTAAAATAGTCAAAATGTAAAGTCTTATCTAGGATGGGCCTCGTGGATTTATGATCCTATGCATCTGAAGAAGTCAGCTCTGACCCACAGGGTATGTTTGGTCTTCAAGGTGCCACAGAACTCCGGATCTATTGTGCTGCTGCAGGCCCACAAGGCTCCCCCCTTTGTAACCTTCCTATTTGGGCTCAGCATAGTGCTTGCCCCGAGCCACCCCAGAAGAACTAATGACACTCATTCCCCCACAGAATCCAGTTCTTACCGTCCTGTGACCCTCCGGATGAGTAAGGAGTCGGCGATGCTGAATTCAATGACGGAATCTAGATTCTCTTTCCTCTTCTCCATGAGCTCATCAAGCTGTTAACATTTCAAGAGGGAAGGGAGAGAAAGTTTATTACAGCACAGAGCAGGTAGATTCAGATCAAGCTAGGCTGCTTAAAGAGAGAGAGAGGCTTGGGAATTGCTGCTTAGTAGGAGCATGCAGCCCTGACCTGAATGGTCCGGGCTACCTCGATCTCATCAGAATTTGGAAGCTAAGCAGGGCTGGCCCTGGTCAGTATTTCGAAGGGAGACCAGCAATGAATACCAGGGTTGCGAGATGAAGGCAGGCAACTGGCAGACCACCTTTGAATCTCTCTTGCCTTGAAACCCCACAGGGTTACCCTAAGTCAGCTGTGATTTGACAGCAAAAAAAAAAAAGGGAGTCCACGAGAACGCCCAACTCAGAACTCGCAGGTGGCCTTGCACTTCCACAGACTCCCAAATTCACACCAGCAGGAAAACACCTTCTTGCTAGAACCTCTCATAGTGCTGCTTCAGTAGCACTGCCATAATTTCCACTCTGCACTGCTTTTCTTTTCAGGGGGAAAGAAAAAGAAAGCAACAGCTACCCATATTTCCTTGCTCTAAATAAGAGGACCTTTGAAAAAAGACAGGCTTCCTGATTCCGGGCTGATTCAAGGGACTGTGTTACCCAAAGCAAGGGGCACCACTCCCACCCCAGGCTTGCACCACTACCGGCTGGCCCCAAGCCAACTCCTGCAGCACTGGCAGAGGGGCCTGGCTTGGATCCAGCTGTCCCAAGTGGGAATGCCAGTCACTCCCCACGCAGCTGATCCCATGGGGTGAGTTGAGCCCCTGCAGTGCATTGGTGCCCTCCTCTACTGTTCCACTGCAGGCAATGAATTGGATGGCACAGCTGCGGGGCCAGCTCTGATATTAGTCATGCTCCAAACTGGATTGGGCCGGTTTGTTTCCTCTGCACCAAAAGAACTAGCTCTGAACTAATCCAGGATCTGCCAGGAGCGTTTGACCAGCCCCTTAAATTAACTACAAACCCTATATGACGAGACCACCACATCACAAAAGGCCTCTACAGATGGCCATTCACACTAGAAGCCTTCTTGGGGAGATGGGAGAGGAAGGCAGGAAACACACAACAGTTAAAAGCTAACTGGAATGGCCTAAGCCAGCACATACTAGAGACTGATCCCCAGATCCCAGGAGGCAGCCTGAGGAAGTTCAGGAGGGGCATATGGTTGTCACACACCATTTCTGCTTGCCGCACTGTGCGGGGAAAGCCGTCCAGAAGGAAGCCGTTTTTGCAGGGAGGAGTTTCCAGGTTTTTCTCAATCAGTTCCACCACCATCTCGTCGCTCACCTTACAGATTTGGGGGGGGGAGAAAGAAGAGACAAGGAAGAGCAGTCTTGATAAAGCCCCCCCACAGCAGCAATATCAACCTGGCCTTCTGGACCACCCTGCAGAATTGGACCCCCCCCCCCCCACTGCAAAATTCCTCCTGTAATTCTTCACAAAATAAAACTTGAAATTCAAGAAGTAGAAGAGTATTCAAGTGGGACCCACTTCTATGCTTGCTTTACTTTTGGGGGCTCCGCTTGCAGATTAACTCCTTGCTCAACACAAAAACACGAGAATCTCACAGCTATTGATTCCATGCAAGTTTTATGCTTCATTTTTACCATTTATAAGCATATATTACTGTTGGGCAACATGTTGTGGCCTTCCTGTACATGTACAGAAGCAAACCCAAAATGGCCATTAGGCCTCCCAGAGTTGCTGATCTGAGCTTATTCTGTTCCACCTCCTCTCTCCTGGGCTCGCGACCACCTGCAAAAAAGTCTCAAACTCACTTTCATCAGGTCCTCCTGACCCCCCCCCCCCATTTGAGAAATCGCTGCACAAGAGGCCTGGAAACCAGGAAGGGCCAAGAACTCTAGCACAGTGTCCTGCACCCATGATTTTCCAGCACTCCAGGGGTCAAAGCAATTTCTCCCTGACATTTGACTTCTGAACAGCTGTAGTGCGAAGGCAGCTGTACTTGGCAACCAAATCTAATAGCTCTGTAAGCAACTTTCTACACTGTACCTGCCATCCACTTGAGGGCCACTGTGGTCTAGAAGACTGCACAAGCAGAGGTGCTGCCAGGTAAGCATTCTGTTCACAGCTAAGGGCCGGAAAATAGTCTCCTGCCTGACTTTCCCCAGGTACTTCAAATGTATTCATCTTATATTAACTGACATACACAAGAGCATTTCTGATGCCCTGAGCATGGAATGACTTCCCATTATCTCCTGTCCCAAGGTCCAGGGGTGAGGCACCTAGCCAAGGCAGATTATTGGCTCTAGGGGACAATAGCTTTATCTAGCCCCCCGCAGCTGCTTCTGCCAAGGCCCCGCCTCTCCTAGCCCGGCAATAGCAGAAGGCTGCGTGACCCATCACAGCTCTGCTCTAACAATAACAAAACCACACTTGGAGGCCACCCAGCAGTTGCAGAACAAAAGGAAGCCATTTGCTCTGGGTCCACAGTGGTCAGCAAAAGCAGCAGCATGCAAGCAAGAAGGGCCTTTATGAGGCCAACTCTTTTAAACTTTCAGCTTTCCAAGTCCAAATTGGAAGAGGGGGGTGGGAGAGAAAAAACAAAAGTGCTACTTCCTTCAAAAAACAATGTAACATAAAGCCTTCAAACTAGAAATATTTAAGTTATTGACCAGGCCTGAGGTGCAAAGGAGAGAGGAACAATCCCCTTGCAACCAAGTCTCCTCCATTTCCGGCAGGCGATAATAAATGCCCCCCTCCATTGTGTATTTGCAAGCTGTCTTCCCCCAATGTATTTCAGCAGGCAGCAAATCCAAGCACAACTATGAAGCGGGATGGATGGAGAGAAGAAGTCTTCCATCTCTGCAGCTCGGAATGGGGGAGGGGGTCTAAAATAAAATTAAAGATGCTTTGAATGCCAAATTCCACTCTATTAAACCATTTCACACATAAAATTTACAACCAGAATGGCAAGGGGAACGTGCACACAAGGTCCCACACTTTACTCAGTAAGTCTCTGGCCTGCACGCCACCCTGGTTGTAAATTTCCATTCCAGGATACACATTAAGGGCTGGAGCCTATCTTTGGGGAGAGATCTGATCGCTGCCAGCCACATACGTTCTGTATACCGGGGGAGGGGGAGAAGAGGCTCAATGGATCCGGGAAAAGGGAAGGGCTTCATAGCCAGAACCACCCTGTACCTACCAGCTTTCCAGCGTCCATTGTCTCCTTCAGCTTCTTCCCCAGTTCTGAACCAGAGGCTACCATGGCCCTCAGCATGTCCCCCGTGGCCAAGTGACACACACAGTACGTTTCAGCAAGCCGGGGAGCCTGAATAAGCAGAGCAGAAGGAAAGAAGTGAATCCATGGGAGGGTCAGGCCACATGCATACACAGCTCTGGTGCTGACTTTGCCCCCAAGCACTCCTCAAGAATTTAGAACTGCTGGTGGAAAAGTGATACCTGCAACGGGGCCTGCCAAACACCTTCCCTCCAGCCAGCCATCACTTATGCTGTCTCAGGAGCTGGGAGAAGGAAGTCCAGATGGCCAAGAAGGAAGAGGAAAGCCCGGACTATGTTGTCTCACATCCCATCTCCATCAGAGGCCAGCCAAATGCTTCTAGGAAGCCAACAAGGATGGAATGAAGTCACTACCCTTGCCCATTCCTCACCCACTGCATCAGGTATACTGCTTCTGTACATGAAGGCATCGGGGCGGACTAAGAAGTTCGCATGGTCCAGGAGAGCAAGCCAAAAACTTAGGTCTGGCCAGCAATGCCATCAATGGGTGTTGGCTCACCCCTTGCATCCTTCTGCAGTGCCATCAACTAGGAGCAGATAGGAGAAGAACCATGGCTCAGTGACAGAACATTTGTGTGGCATGCAGAAGGTCTTAGGTTCAATCCTGGACATCGCCAGTTAAAAGGATGAAGTAGCAGATTATGTGAAAGACCTGAGGCGGTGCAGAGCTACAGCCATTCAGAGCAGACAAGACTGACCTTGATGGATCAAGGGTGTGACTCAGTAGAAGGCCGCTTCAATGGTACAGGTGAGTCGACTCCTATCACTGGATGACTGACCAAGTCTGCACTAAGAGGCCCCTGCAGCACAGGCAGAGCACCCAAGGCCTGACTCTACTTGACATCAGCTCACCGGGAACTTTCCCTGTCAGTTAAATGGCCAGTCCACCTTTGACTATCATAGCTAATAGAGGGCAGGTATGTCAGCAGCTATGAATTTCTCTAACTTTTTCCAAAACAATTTACGTTAGCAGCCATCACATCTTTAATAATAATTGTGTACCTTCAAGTCAAAGCCCACTCATGGTGACCCCAGGACCATGGGGTTTTCAAAGCAAAAGATAAGCAGAGGTGGCCAGTTTTGCATAGCAGAGGATGGGCTATAGTCTACTACCACATCTTAAGCAATTAAATCATGTGTTATATGAAGAATAGTCTCAGTGACGCCCGCACTGCCCTCTCCTGGCAGCAGGGGCTTGGTTGTGGTAGACATTCACCTCCTAGCAGAGAAAAAGGGATTGTAATGACCAGCCTGTGAATAGCAGAAAATATTATCTGAAATTCCAGTTGCAAGATCCAGCCATTATACCTGTAATACTTAGAGAAGGAAAGAAAACCAGGAACTAGCACCCTCAGTGTATTCTTACCTTCAGTCAGTGACTGCTATACCCTGGAGACAACACAAAGCATACATGTAGGATTTTTCACTAGACCAAATGTTAATGATACAAGAGTATGCAGACTTCCGAGTTACACAGAACTCTTCAGTAGAAAGCTTGCCATTGAAGAACTCTCTAAGTCAGAAGCTTATGTATTACCTCAGTGATAGATGCTCGCTGAGTAAAAGATGCAGCCTCCAATGTGCTAAGTGTTGTATAGACAGCAGACTCAAACTACTGCCCCTACCCAGAACTGATGGGGTTGTGGGCCAGAAGGAAGAGAGAGGACTGCTAATTGAATGGAAGAGGGGTGGGGGGATTAGGTAACAGTACAGAGGAAGGTAAGGGAAAGCAAAGATGGCTCCAGGATGCCCAACCTTTAACCTCATGAGTCTTCCCCACCCCCTGCAACACATTAATTTGGGTTTCCCAAACAACCTATAGCCAAAGAACACCTTTTTTCTTAATTATTTTCTGAAATGAAATATGGAGACACTTCATTCTTACAGACATAAAAATATGTTGTTAGGATTTATTAGAAGGAGATGAGAACAGTAACTCATGCAGAGATGCAAGAGGCAGCCTCCTGAGGGCTAGGGCAACCCCCTGTACCAGGTGGCTGGACCATTCAATCACCCCAAATGCAGAGAGGGGGCAAAATTACATAGTCCATCAGAATCTGACCTCTGGTACGCAAGGCCAAAGCAGTGAAACTAACAGAGCCGTTTGGGAATTGCTGAAATATACAGAAGGAAACTAGTTTTGCAAGAAAAGTTTTTAAGAAACAACTTGACAGATTACTTCAGACATGGCACTGTGCCCCACCCAAGATAGCACAAAGGGCAAGCTGTATGCCTTGCAACAAAACAGAAGGGAGATTACTCAGGGCAAGCAAAGAGGGAAGCTGTGGTCACACAGGGGTGGAAGCCCACCCCAAAAGTACTTTGTGTTTTGGAAGGTCCAGTTTTAAGTGAAACAGCTGGTCCTAAAATAGGGTGAGAAAATATGAGAAGATATTCTACCCCAGTCATCTATTTCACATACCAGCCACAGGACTGGCACTTCCCTCAAATTTTTACCACTAGGAATGCAGCTTCTACAAGCAGGTGTACTACTTTGTGGGAGAAAGGGTGCAGGGCACACACATGCACAGGAAGCACATCTCTCAAGAAACACCAGCACCATCCAGGTCTCCCTACTCCAAGTGTCAGGGAATCACCAAGGCTGAGGCCTTGCCTCTTCTCTGGAGATACCAGGGGCTGTACGGGACACACACAGAAGATGCACAAGGCAAGCAACTCCAGATGTTCATGCACTGAAGGTGCAACCAAATTCAAGACATCACGAGGCCTGATTCATAAGGCAGAACAGCCTGCCTCAAAAAGGGGGGGGGGAAGCACCCAAACAAGGAACCTATTCAGACTCCACGCCTTTCAAGTAAAATTTATATTAGGAGTAAAAACATCTGCTGCAAAGGGTTAACCTTCAGATCCACTGAAGCAAGTCGCTTACAGATGTAGACTACTTGTCTGGGCACTCTATGGAAGTTCCCCTACTTGCAAGTTGCTTCTGCCATTTGTTCCCTTTCTCTGCACCCTAGAAGGGGCGGCAGACGGCTGAACCACAATACGGAAAGCTCCCCAGGGCTAAAAACTGTAAAACCGGCACAGCAAGCTAAGTGAGAAGAGTTACGTTGCGCTAGTGTACTACTTGCATTGACCTCCTGCTGTGCAAGTTGCACTGACCTTTTTAAAAAAAAACACAAAGGCACTTTCAGTATTGGAAACCACCTCTTGCAGCCCATTCAACTCGCCTCATTTCCCGCCACACGTATGAACCCTCCTCAGACTGCGAGAAGCCAGGGGCTTGAGCGCGCTGGAATCCCAGATTCCAGGGCATTCCCAGCATAGAAGAAAGAAAGCAAGACAGCCGCCGCCGCCGCTCCAGGTTTCCTACGGGGCCCGCTAAAGCGCCTAGGTTCCTCCAGCAAGAGGCAGCTGAGACTCTCGGACACCTGGGTCCCCTCACCTGGGTTCCCTTCCCGGCCCCGGGCGGCCCCAGCAGTACAGCCCGGATGCCTTTGCGGACCCCCCGGCCGAGGGCTCCCTCTCCACTTTCCGCGCTCGGAGCCATCACAACTATCCCCTTGCTTGGCCCTCCCGGAGGAAAGGCATGTGCCGGGAAGCCCGCCCCCCACACCTGTCCATTGGCCCCTGCTCTAGCCCCGCCCCCCGCTTTGGATGCACTTCATACCCAATAGGCGCGGGAGAGCGCCACCTTATGGGCTCTGATTGGAGAGCGTCATGCCGACCAAAAGGACGGGATGTGGGTGGCGCGCCTGCGTGGCTTCTAGTACGTGTGTGTGTTTTGGGAGAGTGGCGTTTTCGGTCGTCCCGGGCGCTGTGTGTGCTCCCGTATTTATTTAACCCCTCACCCTGTATGTCGAATTGCAAGGTACACATCAAGTGTTTTTCCAGTCGTTTGAACTATGTGCACGGCGGACTGGTTCACACGTGCGGTACAGATGAGGAAACAGGACGGGGTGGGGAGATTTTACCGTGTCAAACTGCAGGGGAAATGCTTGTTGTTGGGATGGTTCTGCAAACAGCCCACCTTTCAGGCAAAAAACTGGTCTTGTTTCGCTGGCTTTCCATTTGCAGGGACTTTTTGGTGCAAAGGGGAAATCAGAGGTTTATCCTGCCTGATGCAGTGGATTCTACCACCTTCTCCATGTATGTACCAGGTCTGGGAAGAGAGAATGGGGCTGACCTTTCATTCTCCCCCAGATGTTTGGTTGCTGGCCCCAGACGCTGTGTCACAGGAGTCAATCAGCTGTGCTTCAGGGTCCCTTGTAGTGGATGCCCTTTACACATGTGCAGCATGATCTCTGCATCCTTGCAAAGCATTCCATGGCCCACATCCAATGTTCCCTCTAAGCTGAGTTAGTGTGAGCTAGCTCACTGTTTTTTAGCCTCCAGCTCACAGATTTTTGTCTTAGCTCAGGAAGAAGGGCTCCAAAGCAAGCTAATTCATGCAGCAGCCAAATCCCTCGCTCACAGCTTTAATGCCAGTAGCTCACAAAGTAGAATTTTTGCTCACAAGACTCCACAGCTTAGAGGGAGCATTGCCCACATCCCCAGCTGAGTACTGGCACTTTTGTTGTTGTTCAGTGGCACAATCGAGTCCGACTCTGCGACTCCATGGACCACATAACGCCAGGCCCTCCTGTCTTCCGCCATCCTCTGGAGTTTGCTCAATTTCATGTTCATTGCATCGGTAACACTGTCTAACCATCTCATCCTTTGCAGTCCCCTCCTTCTTTGACCTTCAATCTTTTTATTGTGCTGTCAAGGTTTGGCATCACTTTCCTCCCAAGGAGCAGGCGTCTTAATTTCACGGCTGCAGTCACTGTCTGCAGTGATCTTGGATTCCAGGAACATGAAGTCTGTCACTGCTTCCATGGACCAGGTAGTAGCTGATGTGAAAGACGTGTGCATGAGATCCCGTGGCACTCCTCTCTCCCTCTCCCCACAACCTGCTCTTAAGGGCTGTGCAAGTGATGCGGGGGGGGGGAGCGTGGCTGTTTGCCCCGGAGCAAAACAACGCGTGGCCGCACGATCATACGTCTCGTAGAGGTCCCGTTGTTAGTGCGGGAGGTGCCGATCACACGGCTCTCTTGCAAAGAAGCGGTGGGGCGTGATCACACCAGCAATCGCTAGGCGCCGCTTCCGTGGCAATCGGGAATTTTTTTTCACCAGAAGGTGAGCATGCACATGATTGTGCGCATCCTGTGCAGACTGGGGGAAAAAAGTAACCGGTTTGCAACGGGACTAGGACGGGACGTGATCAGACGCCTGCCCTTGCCCCGCATCTTCTGGAAACTAGTACCTCGTAGGTACTAGTTTTTTAATCCACATCTTCGGCGGGAAGCCACGGGTAAGCCACGGGAGCGCTATGCTTCCCAGATGTTGCGGTGTGATCGCGCCCGGAAAATCCGCCTATCATCCATCTCTTTAGCGCGGCAAATGCTCCGTGTGAACGGGGCCATACATTTATTTCCTACTTCCTCTACCATTAGGGCTGCTCAGCATGTGGTTTCACAGACGCAAGCACAGTGCAATATAGGATTGAAGTAAGCTGCTGAATCTTCAGATTTAGCATTGCATCTCTTAAGCCAGTAGGACAGCTGTAGTTCTGAGTAACAGAACAGGGCCATTGACACAGACGTGAGCCTTCTTCTTTTTTCTTTTTTGCTAGTATGTTTTCTTTTTTATGGTTTTCCTTGTGCCAGTTGCAATCCTTGGGGGCACTGCCAAGCTCCCATCTGGAAACAGCAAACAAAGCAGGGTGGGGGAGTTGTGGCAAGAACTGGCTCACTTTTCTGAGGTCTTTTGAGGCTGGAATAGGGGTAGTTCCTTACTTTTATTTTTCCTTTCCTCCTAGGAGCCCAGGATGGTGCCCATGGTCATCCCCCCCCATTATTTGATTGTTGCCAACAGTCCAGTGAGGTAGGTTAGGCTGAGGAAAAGCACTGTTGTCCAAGACGACCTAGCAAGTGGGGATTTGAACTCAGGTCTCCCTGGTGCACTCTGACTTAGATGACCCAGGCTAGCCCGACCTCATCAGATCTCGGAAACTAAGCAGGGTCAGCCCTGGCTAGTATTTGGATGAGAGACTAGGAGCCTAGTCCCCATTGTTCTTACAAAGTCAAGCTCTGGGGTATTCGCTGGCCCCTGGTGGCGGTCAGCGGACATAACATTAACATTACGGGACTTTAACAAAAACTCGGTGGCTGTTAGGGGCTGGAGCAAGTTCAGGGTGCAATTTAAAGACTTCAAGGGGGATTTGGACTTGCTGGTGGTGGAGGGTAGGCTCACAAGTCTGCTGGGCCTCTTATGGTTTGGACAGCTGGGAATCTGCATTTTGGGTGTCAATCAACTCAGGGCGCAGGATTTCGCATCAGTGTGCAATGAAGGTGACCAAATTGCAATTTGGGGTCTGTGTGGCACCCAGAATTTTCCAATCTTTCATGGATTCTCTCCTCAAAGGAATCCCCGGAGTTCAGCCCAATGGATGACAAGGTCACTGCCATCACGCAAGCGCCTCCACCCTCTTCCAAGTCCAACTGCAGGCCTTCTTGGACCTGCTTAATTTTTATCACTTATTTCTGCTGCTGAAAGCCACGGTGGTGGAGTCGCTCCACCGCCTACTGGACAAAGACGCCCCCTGGGTCTGGGGCCCTGCACAGGCAGTTGCTTTTCACGTGGTCAAGGGACTTTTGACATCTAACGCTGTTTTTTTCACACTTTGATGAGTCGTTGCCTGTTGTGCTGGCCTGTGATGCATCTCCTTATGGGGTGGGGGTGGTTTTGGGTCACCGCCAGCCGGCTGGCCACCAGATGCCGGTCGCATATTATTCCAGGACTTTATCATCGGTTGAGCGCAAGTACGGGCAAATCAATAAGGAGGCATTGACGATTGTGGCGGGAGTAAAAATATTCCACCACTACTTGTATGGCCGGCCCTTTACAATCATTATGGATCACAAACCTCTCCTGGGCCTCCTGACTCCTGATCACCAGACGCCTCAGATGGTGTCTCCCCGGGTGCTCCACTGGACGATTTTCTTGGCGGGATACAACTATGTGATCGTCCACCGGCCTGGGAAGGCCGTGGGGCATGCGGATGCCTTGAGTTGCCTTCCACTGCCCGCCCAGGATGCCGACCCCATCCCTGCCCACCAAGTCGCTCTCTTGGAGGCTCTCCCCAACTGGCCCGCCCATGTCAAGGAAGTGGCGTGCCTCCCGGCCAGGGACCACATCCTCTGTTGGGTCCTGGACTGGGTGGGGAGGGGGTGGCCCGTGGCCAGTGGGGGCCCTGAGTTTACGGCCTTTACTTCCAGGAAGGATGAACTATCATCGTACAAAGGCTGCCTGATGTGGGGAGGTCGGGTGGTGATTCCAGCACTGTTGCAAATTCGAGTCCTCACTGCCCTACATGAGAATCATCCCGGGCTCGTCCGGATGAAAGCGCTCGCCCACAGCTATGTTTGGTGGCTGGGGTTGGACCAGGATATTGAAGACACTTAGGTAGATAATGCTTTTCCAGCCAAAAGGCCGAGAAGACTTCCGGCGGAAATGCGCTGTGCTAGGGCGTTTTCCTCGGAGCTCCGAGGAACGCCTGACTCCTTCGCGCTCTTTTGGGGGCCCCGAATTCGGGGCGACCCCGGCTTGGGTCTCCTGAAGGGAGCCCAAGGCAGGAGGCTTTACCGGCCCCCCCTTTTTTCCATGGCAAGGACGGGGGAGGGTGTACCGGCACGCCCCGACGCAGGAGCGTTTAGGCAGCGCAGGAACATGGCGTCCGCGCTATTCCTGCTTAGCAGCGACCATCCGCAATTTTAAACCACTGTCTTTTTTATTTTATTTTGTTTTGGCTTGAAGAGCACTTTTATGTCCGTGTTTACATGTTGGTGAAGGATACCTAAACCTGCAAGGATACCTTTGCAACCATAAGCTGAACAAATTAAAACGGAAACAAGTTATCCCCTACCGGATTTTCCCCAATGGTAAAAGAAGCGGCCAGGAAGAGTTTGGGAACGGAGACCAAACGCATCGACTGGGGTAAGAAACAGCATCCTGCTGGAACTTATACCACTTTTAAAATAGGGCAAAAGGATTAAGAGGACTTTCAAAGGTTGCCTCCGTTTGAGGAAGAGGAGACCGAGACAAATAAAGAACAGGAAAAAAAATGGACACAGCCGAGTTATGTAAAACGATAAAGGAGGCAATACTAACTGAACTTAGATCTGAACAATTTTAAAAAAGCCTTCGAGAAGAGCTAGGAAATGCACTTAACCTCGTCTGGGATAAAATAGGAGAAACGGTATGGAGCCCTGTAAATAAAGAAGACAGCAGCACAGATTACGTTAAAGGGCTCCAAGGAAAACATGAACTACAACCAGCTAAACAAGAGGAAATGCTCTATGTGCCATTTACCGACGCGAGTTAAGACCCGAGAAAGTGATTCAGTGCCTAGGAGGAAGGAAGATGAAAAGGCGAGAACAGGAAGAGGTGAAAAAATTTCCCAGCTGAACCAGCTCCATAGGGAAAAAACGGAGAAAAGAAAGAGAAGAAAAAGGAAGAAAGACTTAAGGAAAAAAACAGACT